TTGAGTTATATTATTTTTGTACATGATAAATATATGCTATGTTAAAAATATAAACTTATTTAATTTTGATAATTTTGGTACTTTTGGTTCGGTATTGGTATTGCAAAGTTTCGTACCAAAAATTTTCGGTAATTACCGGTACCGATACCGAAAAATATTTTTGGTATCGGTTTTATGAAATACCGTACCGAATGGTACCGATCGGAACCCTATGTATTACTATATAAGTATAAAAAATATTACATATATATAAAAGCAAAAAATATACTATATATTTATTTAATATTTGATTAATATTTTTTTTTTATTTTAATTATAACATTAATATAATAATTTTTATTTATATTAAATCAATTATTCTAATTTTATAAGATTTTTTAATAATTATTTTTGCAAATATTATTTTTTATTATTAATTAAAATTTCTAATAAGATTTAAATTTGCATTTTTAAAAAGCCAAAATAGAATCTTGATATTTATATCAAAAAATTTAGCTTTTGTTATTTTTGCAATGTATACAAAAGTATTATCTTGTTGAAATATTTTATATCCATATAAAAACATTAATTTGAAAATAAAATAACATTCTTTAAATAATTTTGTATATGCTGTATTATTATTTTAATATAATATAATATAATATAAGTAAACTATATTCTATTTATAAGAATCCTATTCAAACCATTCTTATTTTATCTTTAGAAATTGTTCCTGCAAGATAATTTTAATTATATTTTTTGTCAGTTTTGCATCATGCACAAATATTTGCGCTAGTATAAAATTGTGCAAATAATTTATCTATTCAATAAACAGATTTCTATTTTCAAAAGATCAATTTTTATATTATCATATTCTTATCCAAAAGTAAAGGCTTGCAATATGCAATACAAGAATACAATTTAAGTTGATGAAAAGTATAAACTAATGTTTTGATATGTAAAAATTGACCTTTTTTTTGAAGTTGATTATGTGTGATACTTGATAATTATTTATAGAAGTATCAGTATGTACAAATACGTATAAATTAGCTAATTTTTATAACATATCGCGTACAAAAAAATGACAGATTAACGTCAATTCGAGTTGAAAAAGTTTTCATCACATCTCTATTACATATATAGTGTCGATCGGGAACTAAAAAAAAGCGTTGCATAATTTTGTCCCCATACTCGCTAATCAATAATTCAATAATCACGTTACAAAACGTTTCATTAAATCTAAATCCCAATTTATGTAAATAAAAACTTTAATTTCATATTTAATCGTAGAACAATTGACGAGGGTCTGACGGAGATGATGAAGGTGGATCACCATAATCGTCGGAGTCATCATGATCATGATACAAGTGATGTACCACTGGATTTATGATACGTGATTTTTTTCCAGTAAGTTTTTGCGGTGAACTTTTAGCATCACCTATATATCTTTTTAGTGTTGAAGATTGAAAGCGTATAATTGTATTTCGGCGATGTGACTTTTTGAATTCCTCAAGTACCTCAAGGGAATCATCTAAACCTCTCTGCATGAAAAAAAATAATGATCAGAATGAGATGTTCCAAAACCCCAATACAAAGGAATGAAGATCTTTCTTACCCTAAGATTTTGCAAAACCCTTAACGTGTGCACCAGTTCATAATGGTTATCCCAACTGATTGGAAGATAAAAGGCACCAATAAGAAACATTCGGTAAGTTTTTG